TGAAAGAGCTTGTGTAGCAAACAAAGGCTGGTAATGCGGCGGCGCACTGAAAGATTCGAAAGACCAGTTTCACGTTTAAGGGATGATATGCTTATGTTATATGAATATGAAGAATGTATGAACCTAGTGGCGCGGTTTTGCACAGACTCTAATTCATTTATCAATTATACCTGGTGCGGGCTCCATATGGGAGCTGCATATTCTAGTTTAGTTCGGATTAAATATTTATAGGCGAGAAGTTTGATGTCAGGTGGAGCATGACGCAAATGACGCTTCAAAAAACCCAGAGTTCGGTTCGCTGATGATATGACGTTCGTGATATGCGTGCGCCATGAAAGATCACTGGATAAGGTGACGCCTAGGTATTTATAGGATTTCATTTGTTCAAGAGTAGAGTTAGCTATTACGTAAGAAAAATGCAAGGGATTATGCTGGCGTTGAAAAGAAACGAGATTGCATTTAAAGGGGTTAAGCTCCATCAACCACAGGTCACACCATTGCTTTACACGATGAAGGTCAATTTGAAGCGCAGTTTGATCAGAGGGGTTAGTAATTTTGCGGTATAGAACACAATCTTCGGCAAACATGCAGATATGAGAAGATACATGCATGGGTAAATCGTTAATATATATTAGAAACAGAAGGGGTCCGAGGACGGAACCTTGGGGGACTCCCGATGTTACCGGGAGGGAGCTAGAATGTTTATTTCTAATATCGACAAACTGGGAACGGTTAGCAAGAAATTCTGAAATCCATGCGAGAATTTTGGGGTGCAGATTCAACTGGGCAAGTTTTAGTAACAGGCGTTTGTGTGGTACCTTATCAAAAGCTTTAGCGAAGTCTAGAAAGATTGCATCAGTCTGGAAGTTACGGTCAAGATTAGCGTGCAAATCATGAGTAAATATAGCTAGTTGTGTTTCACAAGATAAAGATTTACGAAATCCATGCTGGAAAGAATGAAAGAAATTGTTAGCGTCCAGAAAGTTTATTATGTGAGTGTATATGACGTGTTCCATGATTTTGAATGAGACGCTGGTTAGTGAAATGGGGCGGTAATTTAGGGGTGACTGTTTGTTACCTGATTTGTGGACCGGAATGACCTTTCCCACTTTCCAGTCTTCTGGCAGCATTCCTCTTTTAAGCGACAATGAAAACAGCATCGAGAAATACACTGCAATAATTTGTTTAGTGTTTTTTAACAGTTTAGAGTTAATGTTGTCAACGCCAGCCGATGATGAAAGTTTAAGTCTGTCGATAAGGGACGAAATTCCAGCAATAGAAAATTCCACTGGAGTCATTATCGGTAACGTCGTAGTAGGTGGCGAGGGAAGTGGCGAATCGGCTTCTTTTGTGAACACAGAGCAGAACGCGATGTTAAAAACATCCAAACAATCACCGTCGCTAACTTCCTCACCATATCGGTCAGTAAGCGTTGTTTCGCGCGGCGGTTGCGGGTTTATAACTTCCCAGAACTTTTTAGGGTTATTTGTTAGAATTTTAGGTAAGTCAATGCGATAAAACGTCTGTTTTGCACTTCGAATTGCAGCATAATATGCGTCTTCTGCAGCATAGTACTTCTCCCATGCGCACGCAGTACCATTACGTTTCGCAGTACGAAAGAGACGTTTCTTTTTATTTTCCTGCCTTATTAAAAGTTTCAAAAACCATGGTTTATTTTGATTAGCAGGTAAGTTCATCTTTGGGATATATGTATTAGTTAACTCGAATATTTTGTCCCTAAAGACTAACCAGTTACTGTTAAGAGATCTGGAATCGAAACTGGATTCAAACTCAGACAGGAAATCTCGCAGTTCATTATTGATTGCTTCATAGTCACCTTTGTTGTACATATGAATTGTTTTGCTGGAAATGTGGCGAGTTTTAGGGATGAAGTTTAATGTAGTATGAATGACTTTATGATCACTGATTTCAAGTAGGTAGGAGATAGATTCTAAGCTTTCGGGGCTGTTTGTTAGTATAAGATCTAAAATGTTCGAAGATTCACTAGTTACACGAGTTGGTTCCAACACCAGTTGCGTAAGGTTAAAGTTCAGACAAACATCGACAAATTCTCTTGCTTCGGCATTTCCTGTAATTAGTTGTGTTTCGTTTATCCAGTCAATATTCGGGAAATTAAAGTCGCCATAGAAGAGGATATGTGCGGATGGGTGTTTATTAGTAAGCGTAGACAGCACTTCATTCAGTTCGCGGGCGAAATTTGGATCAGAGCGAGGGGGCCTGTAGCATAGGCCAAGTAATACTGTTTCGGGTGGGGCACGGCACAATACCCATAATATTTCAAGTTGTGAAGGACTGTTGATAAGGGAGCAAGATAGCTCTTTGCTAGTGGCGATGAGTACTCCCCCACCACGTGCGTTCTTACGGTCATGACGAAAAAGATTAAACTGCGGCAAGTCAGTCAGAGCCTCTGTATCCGAAATGTCGTCAGTAAGCCACGTTTCGGTCAATAAAAGTATACTACTGCCAGATGATTTTAATAGATTAGACAGAGGCACGCGTTTAGGAAGAAAACTGCGGATATTAGTATAAATTACCGAAAGTGAAAGCTTAGCTTTAGTGCTTGTACGTGGCTGTTGGCGCGCTTGCCGTCGGCGTACTGATCCCTATGTTTTTTCTTTGACAATTCCTACTTCGTGGTCGTAAATGTATCGCTTAGAGCCGATGTGCAAAGTTTGGAAGCGCAGTGAAAATGGCACGGATTTGCTCCTAGCGAAAGCAACGAGCTCTTTTCGGGCTATTCTAACAGTCTACCATAATTGTCACAAGCAACCAGCTAAAGCTACAAACCACCCTTCGATAACAAGATTTACTACAAAATACGGCTGCTACCTCACTCTCCGTGTGAGATTTGGTTGTAAAAAAGGTAGTTGATTTCTTGCATCCCTTGAAGTAATCGCGGATAACAAGCATCGAGACCAAATTGCAGCCAAACCGAAGATCAGGGGTGCAGCGATGTTGCCGGAAATTGCCACGCTGGCTTCCGGGCGACGAGCAATTTTTTCTAGTTTTCCAGAAACGCGCGACGTGACAAGCGGCGCCGATGGATGGACCTCCGCGACTGCGAATCTTATCACTCGACACTGTTGCTGGAAATACATGTGCATGCGATATGGTCTTAACTGCGCTTTACACCTGGAATCGAGAGTTCTATCCCTCTCTCCGGCATGTTTGGCATATTGAGCGTTCAGACATTTTAGAGAATTAACGAGTCACCACTACAACGGTCGGAAACAGCTTTTTTTTTCCTATCCGGAATCATTTTTGACCATGATTTCACCTCCCACAAATCATACTTGTACAACATTTACTGGACGTACCTGAGAAATAACACGGTCTAGTGACAATGGACACCCTGCGGATATCCAATGCCCCAATTTCCTAACAATGCGCAAAACTACTGTCCCGCCACACTCTGTATTTAGATGGCTTATAACAAGAACGCGTGCATAGGATGAAGAACAAAACAAAAACGGAAATAATGCTATACAGATGCATCCCACTTTGACAAAAAGTCAGCTGTTGGTATATTTAGCCCGAATACAGATTGGTGCTATTCCCTTCGACTGCCTTGTTTCACAACTGTTCTCATGGTTGAATTTCTGGCAGTATGGGTGTGCAGGCGATAGTTTTCAATCTAGCAACAATGGCAGTTTGTCGCCTACATATCATTATTGCAGCAGTAACGACGTGACGGTGCGACGAGACAAACTTTTAGCCTTCGCGCGTCTTCTGCACATTCTGCTTGGGCCGACTCGCACATGAGAAAGGTGTATTGTGCATTATTTCCCACGAATTTTAGAATACTTCGACTAGTTTTGGCACCTGGACTTAAGGGCTCTTCCTAAATAAAATGACCAAATTTTTTAGCGAAGGCATCAACAAGTAGGCCACTATTACCGTGTTTTCCACCATTCTCTTATGTGACGGCTGCGTGATTTTACAGGCGTGACAATGTGTAAGGTCGCCAGGTACAGCTCTGGTAAGTTCCACCGAGTATCAGCTGTTTTCATATCCCTTGCGGCGATCATTTTGTGAAAGACGTAAACTAGAAGTGGCTGTTACCAGGCTGCACTCTCGGGTGCCGTTACAGAATTTCTACCAACGAAGGTTTAGTCAGGCATTTCTTATGGCATGTACATGCTTAGGCTGTGTAAATTTTATATGCTATGGGAGCGGAAGTGGTGAGCTCGCCAGTAGAATAAGTGAACGATAGACACAGGAATGCTCACGACTTGCGCTTAGCGGGCGCTCATAATCATTCGTGGTGGAGTCTTACAAGGATTAGGATATTTTAAAGACGATAACCTTTCTTGGGGACTATCGACGCAAAAGGTTTGGTCTGTCTGTACATTTGCCTGATTGTCCACCCTTAACAGTACTCTAAACTGCACCAAAGTGACCAAACGATACTCCGAACGGCCGATCCCATCCGCAGCGCCCACCAATATTGCTCAAAGTTCAGCGTTTATACTTGTGTGATTGTCAATTGAAAAGCAAATATTGCGCATATCTGAGACACCATAACAACACATCAATAATATGTATGTGTATTTTTTACTAGAAAAGGCATACAGAAGTAATTTTAAGAACCGTAGCCGTTATAACTCTGCACTGGAATGCAATGCTTGTACAAAATGAAAAGTGTTTCCAACGCTTCGCTAACACGACACGGTGGTGCCACCTACCCGTCGCCTTGCGTTCTACACCTTATCACCTCAGAGACGGGCGCGCACGGCGCGTGCCCTATTTTCCAGGATAACTGCCAGATAGCGCTCAAGTCTCGCGTGTGACGTGAATTGATGCGCTCGTTCGCCTCCACTGCACGCTCGAGGCACTCAAAAACAGTGCCTCCGTTCACCGATTTTCTTGCGCAGAACATCAAATAAACATTTTGTTCTCTCTCTCCAGACGCTAGACTATCGTCTTTCAACGACATTTGTGGTGTAACATGCAGATACAGGGCCAAATTTTTTTATCAGTGTCTCGTCTGCATCTCCGAGGATATCTGCGTGGCAGCAGGCCCAGACATCTACAATGAAAACGCGGGTGGTCTTCGAGCAGTTGAGTACATACCTCTGAGACACGACGCGTGCAGCTCGCAGTAAAAATAACGAAAATCGCTCCACACCACACGCTCATGAAACGCGCACGTGCCCGTCCATCTGAAGACACATTTATCACACTGGTATCACACTGGTATCCGCGATTTTCGGGCGGATGATGCATTTTAGTCATGTGAAGAAGCACTCAAAAAGGTTCAAGTATACTTTTTTTTTCAAAGAGCACGACACGACGAGCCGAAAGTTTAGGAGTCTAAGATTTTTACTTTGACCTGAATGACGCCTCGAAATTTATGTGCTGGCCTTATGCAAGGGCAAACACATGTTGTCGTGACGAGAACGCAAGTTTCAAGTGTTCTCGACGGGTTACCAGGCGCTTGGTACACATATAACGCTGTGAACAACAAGGAAACAATTGGTGCTATTGTAGTGTGATGGTTATGATGTTTAATTTTGGTGCGTGCTATTGTCAATTTGTTACCGTTTCATACGTGCTAGGGTTCAAATGTCAAGTTTGTGAGCAAATACCTTGTTATCTATTTCCTAACATGTCCTAACGATAATTTCTTGCACGGAGTGTCTGTGCAAAGCATGTACTGCGCAATAGTTTTATTAAGTTTGCACGCGTGCAAGCGACTTCATCTAGATATGAAAACCTTAAATGCACTGTAGACTCTTCAAGTGCGCAGATAAATTGAGCTGCTGTAGAAAGTCACTGCTGCTGCATTGCCACGGCATTTTTGGTTCCGTGCTGCGTGTGACGGGCTAAATCACATCGTTTTCTATCGACCTACGGGGCAGTCGAGTACTCTTCAAGACTCCTGATACCTATTTCGGCTCGACTTGTGGCTGCATTTGAAGTATACACCTTTTGAACAGGGCACTGAATATAGTGTCGCCATCTCTGCGCGGCTACAGAAAACGTGAGTGAACTTTGTAAAGAAAATATCTAAGCCTTCTGCACCATGACCATGCTGTGTATTTCAAAAGTGGAGCCTGCGAGGAAACGCTTGAGCACATTCTATGTCATTGCCCAGCATACCAGACCGAACGACGTATTATGGAAACCAAGCTCTGTCAGCTGGATTCACGGCCGCTTACAGAAGAGAAGATCCTGGGACCTTGGCCGACGGCTTCCCATACGCGCAAAGCCACCAAAGCCCTCTTGTACTTTTTAAGGAACACCAAACTTCACGACCGCTTGTGAAATAACTGTACGAGGCCGTGATGTGTAGTTTTGAGCTGACTATTTATGCTTCTCTTTCTTACTCCTCTTCTTTTCTGTCTCTTTTCGTTCTATTATTCCCCTTTTCCCCCACCCCAAGTGTAGGGTAGCCAACCGAGCCAAGCTTGGTTAACCTCCCTGCCTTTCCTCTCTATTTATCTCTCTCTCTCTCTCAAAAGTGGAGCCATAATAATGACAGTAGATGAGCAGTGATTCCTGGCTGCTCAAATCTAAACTAAATACGGGCATTATTAGGAATAAATTAGTTCAGTAATGCAGGCCAGTGGCTGCGAAGATTTCACGTGGACGGCTTTTGCTTCTACAGGCACCGCCTTCTTGACCTGAGTACGCTAAAGCCTCCTTTTAAAGGGGGTTCTGTGCGGTTCCTTTAGGATGCGCGCTGTGACACGAGCCCAAAACTACCTAAAAGCCCTAAACCCGTTTACTGTGTAGAAAACGACTATTGTGAGAACCCAGAGCGATGGAAGTTCTGCGCCATTGAAAACGGGCCCGTGTCGTGACTGCCTTTTGTTTGTTTAATTTCGAATCTCCCTGCGCTGGCACTCGAAGTACAGATGACCAAGCATCATTTAGCAACAGCCTATAGGAACTACCTGTATAGAATCAACGTAGAAAACCTTAGCATCACCTAGCTAAAACCTAGAATCCAGCCAGAACCCAACACTTCAGTCTTCAGAATCCCCCCGTTTCGCTGTTTCAAGGCTTGCGAGGCTTAGTGCAATCTGCGCCATTTTGTTGGAGCTTGCCCCTTAAGGTCGCACGCTATATGTCAAGCGGCCGCCGCATGTGCACCCTGCAGTGTTCCCACTGTGCACTTCTCCGATCGCCGCTACGGTCGCCTCTGCGGTGGTTCCAACAATGCTCACTAGATGGCGTAACGCCACCAAAGGCGTCGGTTTTCGATGGCGAGCGAGCTCGCCTTCTCACGACTACGTACACTTCGTTCTCGTCACTTCGTAGGCAGGGCAGCACGTGACAAGTTAATACGATGAGTGTTAATCACTGGTACCAATATCCTCCTAAGCCCCCCAGCAGCCTCCTCTCAACCCCGTTGAAGAACGCCTGATAGCTCCACGTGTGCCATTTATGAGCGTTAGGCATTTGACTGATGGCCGCGGCCAGTATGGCATAAAGGGGCAGGTGGTGAACGTGCCGATCGACGTGACCAACGTGCCCGAGAACGCTGCGTTCGCCGAACACATCATGCGCCAACTCGTTAGCAAGCCGTCCTACGGAAATGGTCTAGCCAAGAAACGCTCCTTGCACCTCGGAGCAAGTTCCTCTAACATCAATCACTTGTTGAATATGGCGGTGATTTTTTTTTATACCACTTGTGCTGACATTTTACTTGAATTAACACCTTGCAAAGTCTGCAGAAAAATGTTTTCCTTTTGGATCTTATGATATCTTCTTGACATAATGAATTGAATCATGATTGCATGGTGTAAATAGTACTTTATGTCTGTCAGATGAAGCCAAGAACAACCAGTCGATCAATCAGCCGATCAAATAAACTAGCCATATATTTATTAATTGAATTGATAGACTAATTGATCGGTTGGTTCGTTGACTGATTGATGTAGCCGGCAATGACTGAAGATCGACACGAACAATTCACCGCCACTTGTGCCCGCAGGTGTGGAAGGACGATGCCTGGGAGGCCCGCTTCTCCCTTCGTCCCGTGGGCCTGGTGCTTTCCTCGCTGCGTGCCGACCAGCACGGCGTGTACATGTGCCGCGTCGACTTCCGCCAGGCGCAGACGCTGAACCGACTGGTGCGCCTCACTGTCACCGTGCCGCCTCGCGCCGTAGTCATCCGCGACAGCCGGGGCAGGCCGCTCAACGGAAGCGTCACCGCCGTCGACGGACAGTCGCTCTCGCTGCTCTGCACGGCGCCAGGAGGTGAGTGTGTGTGGTTGCGAAAGTTTTACGCTTTCTTGGTTTGGGCACGTGAAACCGCACACACAACCAAGTGTACTCTTTCAGTCCTGCCGTCATGCTTATACCCGTAGTGAACGAAATGAAACCGAGGGGTGATTCCCAAAAAAGGTAAAATATATGATGATGGGCAAGATGAGTTTCGGTGGTCATATGCAGAAACCCAAGATAAGGGGCCAGGACCACCACGATTGACAGCGTATGGCAGCACACGTTATAAACACGAATGACAGAAAGATATGGGCTGAACAAAGGACATTAGAATAGACAATTAAAGCGCTGTTCTTTGTCATCTATTTCTCGTCGATGGATGCCACCGCGTACTGTCATGATAAGCTAGCTATGTCATCAGTAACTGTTGAGCAGCACTTAAGAAACTGACGCTGTCGTCAACGTAAAACAGCCTTAAGCATCACGTGGACGCAGCTACCGCGCAAGCCTCCAGTCTACCTCGTGTGATTTAAAATAGGAAGGAAGATACATGAAAAGCAATCACCATGCTTTGTCGGTCCTGAGCTGAACTGGACTCGGCATTGTGTATACAAAACATACCTAGAGGTCGAGCCATACAAAGCAATCCTGGCTCTATAATCACGATATGCTGTTACGACAGAGTGTTTCGAAAGAGAAAAGTCTAGTCTGGTAGATCACAAGGCAAATATTTAGCGAAACGAGATGGTTTTTCCGTAAACAGCAAGACTTTTTAGAGCGAAAATTATTGTGCGTTTGGCCTATTGGAAATCATAGAGGGCTGTCATAGAAACCTGTATAGGAGAGGGGAAATAGGAAGAGTGCTGTCATGTCTTCGTTCTCGCGTAATTGAAAACGAATTTTTTTGATAATTGAACAGCTGCTGGGCCTTCTCGCCAGAAAATGATTGCCTTCGTCTTGTCAAACACTTATATGCTGTCAGTTACAGAGCAGAGTGGGGTAAAAGAACGCATACCCCTCTTGTACCACGCGTGCACATCTAAAAGAAAAAAAATGGCTCCGTATCTGCAAGTTTCACTGCAAATGTCGTCGAAAGACGATAGTCTTACGTGTGGAGAGAGTGAAAAAAAATGTTTATTTGATGTTCTGCGGAAGAAAATTGGTGAATTGTATTCTGGAAGGACTGTGTTAGAGAGTCTCGATCCATGCAGCGCATCGAGGCACGTTAGACACGAGCGCCATCTTGCACTCATCTTCGAAAATTAAGGAAGGCGTGCGCGCCAACGAAGAAAGGTGCTCACCTGTCCTGGAGGCGATACCGTGGAGAATGCAAAGCGACGGGCAGGTGCCACCACTGTGTCGTCTCAGCAGAGCGTTGAAAACACTTGCTTTTTTGAGCATCGCGTTGCACCCCAGCGCAGCGTGATAAACGCCATGGTCCTTAGAATTACTTATGTGTGCCTTCACCAGTATAAAACCACAAATATAGAATAAGGACGTGTTGTCATGGTTCCTCAGATATGCGCAATGATTGCTTTTTAATTGACATTCGCACAAGTATGAACGCTGAAACTTGAGCAATATTGGTGGGCGCCGCGGATGGGGCTGGCCATTTGGGCTATGGGGACGGCGGACAAACAATCATATGTACAGAAAGACAGACCAAAATTTTTGCTTAGAAGTAGCACAAGAAAGACTATCGTTTTTAAAAAGAGGCATCCTATCTATGCTTTGTAGATGGTGGGTAAGCCAAGTGTCTGCACCACCTGACACGACAGACCAGCGTGACCTATCCTTCAAACGGTGAAAAATCAGTTCCACAGCAATGTGCGCTGTCGCGAAAAAAAAATAGTGATGTTACACGAACTAAGACTGGCTCTTTTGAATCCGGTTTTGTGTCACTATACAAAACGCTTGCGTAAAAGAATATGACCGCTTGAAGAAGAGAAGATTTTTCACGCAGTTTTTTCGCATTAACAGCCCAAAACTTTGAAGGGTATGCTACAAGCCGTATGCTGATTCCTGCTGACATAGCGCACACGCCAGTGTTACTATCCACTCCCTGAGAATCAAATTACACAGTTGATGCTCAAGTGAAGCATGTTGTCTCCCACCCCCTCCACGTTCCTTCACGTTCCCTCTTGACGGGTTAGCGCTAACTCTCTGCTAGAGCAGCAGCCGATGGGAGGCCTCGCATGCGGGTTCTCGTTATCGGATGTGCCCCCTCCGTACTATGGAGATGAGTCCATTATGTTAATCTCCACTTCAGCCGCATTCGTCACCACCACTCGTGCGCTTTTGCCCACCGTGAGAATTTCAATGCTCGGGGAAGGGGGGGGGGGTATGAATGGGGGGAATTTTAAAGGTTTGAACGTTATACGAAACGTGAAGGCGACGTCAAAAAACCGTTCAGACTATCAATATAATTGCTATGACCACATTACGCCCTGCATGAAATCCTCATCTGCAAGACAATCAAATGCATTTTAGCAAAACTTCGCTCTTTGAAACGATGTTGATAACTTGGCGTGTGGTGCTGCGTTTTTCGTGCATGTCTGGGTGGTTTCATCTCTTACGTAGGAAAGTGTAGCCACCCCACTCCCTGCTTCGTATGCTGCAGTTGCCACTTGGCGGCATCGCTCGAATCCGCATTGCCTGCAGGCAAGCGTTTTTCAGACTCGTTTTGTGCAATTTCATGGCGAAAGCCTTACGCGCGTTGGGAGAAGGGCCGCATGCCGATAAATTGGCGTGGCCAACGAGACACATGAGTCGTAAAACGAACCACACGCGGGCCAAGTGCCCACTTTGTCTTATTGGGTTCGCGCGACTACTGAAATTTAAAAAAAATCGAGCACCTGCAGGCTAATTGTGCGACAAAAAAGATGATGCGAACAGTGACGCAGTGCTGAACGTGGTGGCATTGCCTCGTTGCTTTATCTCACTCCCATTTTACACCCCTTGCTATATTATACTGTACACAGCCGTGCGTGCATTCGGTCGTTTTTCTATTTCCTTTTGTGGGTGCTTATTTGTATCTCTGTCTGACTCTTTCGTCACCTTTGTATCTTTCTTTTTTGTTTTATATGCAAAGCATTTCTTAGCCGACTTCGGCGACATTAAGCGTATCTATCTATCTATCTATCTATCTATCTATCTATCTATCTATCTACTATCTATCTATCTTCTATCTATCTATCTATCTATCTAGCTATCTATCTATCTATCTATCTATCTATCTATCTATCTATCTATCTATATCTATCTATCATCTATCTATCTATCTATCTATCTATCTATCTATCTATCTATCTATCTATCTATCTATCTATCTAGTATCTATCTAGCGCCTAGGACTTCTGCTCTCCTGGCCTTTACGGTAATGGTTATTGATACCAAACTTCGTATAGCATAACATAACTATATGAAGAACATATTTGACTAGTCATACCATGAAATTCCTGACATGTATGTCATGAATGTCATGATTTACATTTAATTATCCTGCTGCTCTTGCGGTGGTTTCGTTCACGTGGCATGTTGCAAAACTGGCATTATATGACATGGTTGCATGGCGAACACAAGCAACAGACCCTGATATAAAAATCAAGAGATGCTTGTCATGTAACAACATGACTACATGCCACGCTCATGATGCGCTCGCGGCCGTTTCGCTAGCGTCACATATACCGAATTAGGTATTACGGTTGATTGATTGATTGATTGATTGATTTGTAGGGTTTAACGTCCCAAAACCACCATATGATTATGAGAGACGCCGTAGTGGAGGGCTCCGGAAATTTCGACCACCTGGGGTTCTTTAACGTGCGCCCAAATCTGAGCACACGGGCCTACAACATTTCCGCCTCCATCGGAAATGCAGCCGCCGCAGCCGGGAATCGAACCCGCGACCTGCGGGTCAGCAGCCGAGTACCTTAGCCACTAGACCACCGCGGCGGGGCAATTAGGTATTACGGTACGTGAATGAATGACGAAGGTATGATAATGTTGCAAATATAAACATGAGATGCGTGTCATGTAACATCACTACATGCTACGCTCATGACGCGCTCGTGGCCGTTTCACTAGCTTCACATGTACCAAACTCGGTATTACGTGACGCGAACGGACGAAATAGGTATATGGCACATCCAAACATGATAACCACAACACGCTTGTCATGTAACAACATGACTACATGCCACGCTCATGATGCGCTCACGGCAGTTTCGCTAGCTTCACATATGCCATATTTGAGGTGGAATAAACACATAAGCTGATTTGTGATGGAATAAACATGTCGCTTACGTTAGGAACAAGGTGGTAGGAACATTAAGTTTTCTGAAGCGTAACTTCAGTAGTTTACCACAAAAACTTAGACAGCAGCTCTATTTTACACACGTCTGCAGTATACTGGAGTATTCGTGCGTCTGCTGGGACCCATATACTAAGGAACTTACAGATAAACTTGAAAAAGTGCAGAATAGAGCAATTCGATTTGTCCTTGGAAATTACGACCGGATGCTTAGTGTGACAGAGAGCAGAAAAACATTAAATTGATATCCTTTTGAAAACCATCGTCGAAACCTCAGATTAAAATTCTTTCATAGCTTGTATTATGAGAGAACAGGGATCAGCAGGCAATTGTATTTTCAACCACACAACTATGTTTTTCAAAGACGCGATCATCACTTGAAAATACGTGAGGTTCCTTTTGGGGGTGACGCTTTTCGCTACTCTTTCTTTGTCCGCACTATAAAAGAATGGAACACTCTGCCACCGGAAATAGTCTCTATTGATTCAAGTGATGATTTTTTCCTTGCTTTATGAATGTTTTTTTTTATTTCTTTGATCAAATTAACTGTACCCTCCCTGTTGTAATGCCTTATGGCGAAGCAGGTACTTAATAAATAATAATAAAATAATAATTTGGTAATACGTGATGCCAATGGATGACGAAGGTATGTGACTGGTGCAAACATAATAATCATGAGATGTGTGTCATGTGAGAACACGACTACATGCCACAGTCAATG